AAGTTGAGATTTTATGTCCAACTGCCCCAGTGGGGCATGCAAAAGCAAGGGGCAAGGCTCTGGGTACCAACACCAGAGATGTAAATTCCAAGATTGATAACCACATTGCAAGGCAGTACTGTGCATGGTTCTCCGCTGTCCAAAGCAGCTGGAAAGCGATCTCATTTTGGTCACAGAGGAATCACTCCCAAAGGAATGCCTTCATATTGAAAGGAGGTGTTCCAATGATGAAGGATCTGCATTGCTAATCTAAACAATGTGAGTTTGAATGACCCCAGAAGTTTGCTAGAAGCCGCTATTTTAATCTAGCAACCTTGAAGCTGCACTAGCATTACAGTGAGAACCAGAGAAAACGGAGGCAGACTGCAATGTTTGGAAGGAAATGTAGTAACTTAAGCCACTGTTGTATACTCTCCTCTTCACACCTGAGGTCTGAGAGCAACTACGGAAGGATGTGAATTTATTCTCATGCATTGCTTCTTTCTTAAAGTCATCTAAACTGCAAGACAATTGCTGGACAACGAGTTGAATACAGCTGCATCTCAAACGTTCTCAGCTTGTACATTTTATCGTTGCTCTCTGAGGTAATAGTATAGACCAAATTATTGGTTTGGTTGCACTCTGGATAGTAGTCTGAAAAACTTGGTATAAAATCAACAACATCAGGTACAAAAGCCTCCCTTTCCTGCCCATCACCAAATGGTTTGTTTCAGCCACTAGCGGGTCCCATCCTCAGTGGACTCAATATCGGTACCGATTTTTTTCCATTCTTTCTCCATTTGTAGCATGCTGCATTTTGTCAACATAAATCTCAATGAAGGAAGACATCCCAAACCAAAAGCTTTTACCATTTCTTTAAACTGATCATTTTTTGCTTTGTGGAAGTTAATGTCAACATGCAACTTTCCTAATACTAAAAATTGTTTATGACATCATCACCTGCTGACTTCAACTACTTGGAAGAGTCACTGAAGAGGAACAGAGTTCTTATAAATGTAGTTGATATTAAAGAGCTCTGGAAGACCAAGATCAAGGACATAAGTTATAAAATATTCCAATAATAACAACAAAAAATGTCCACCTTTACAGGGACCTCATTCTTCAAGGCTTCAATTCTCTACTTTGTTAAAACAGCGTCTAATTGCACGGTACACTCAACATTGAAGAATCCAAAAATACACACAATTGTACCCTTTTAAAGCAGTAGGAACCATCTTTATCTTATTTAAGAATTCTCAAGTACGCCAGCCAATATTTTATCTTAGAAGACTTGTCTTACATGAATGATAACCTCCCTGTGTTTAAATCTGAGTCACACTCTAGAACCAGTCTTAGGATTGAAAAAAGATGAGACTACAGAAATACAGAATTTAACTGCTGCTTGCAGAGCCTCAGAGTTAATGTTAGTTCATTTTCTATAAAAAACAGGAAGCCTAGGACTCCCTTCTGTTAGAAAACAAATGAAAGCTAATATTCTTAAGAACAACATGATCTAAGGAACATATATTTGGGGATTTAATAATGCTAAAATGATTGGTTTTCATTTCTTATTTCTATCCACCTTTCTAGTACCTTCAGCCTGAAAAATATTGAATTAAGCAGATTCATACATTGAAGTCCAGTAATTTCTGAGCATAAAATTCCATTTGCAGTATTGATTAGCTGCAGCATTAACTGAAGACAGAAAGGAAAACAATCACCAAGGGAATTTAGTACTGAGGTGACTGAGGTTCAGGGGCACAGCAGGGGAGTCAGAGAGAGGAGGAAAGTGAAGCCTCGCCAGGAGGAGCTGGGTTGAAAAGCCTGAATATCAGCTGGAAACTTCATCTCATTTGAACAGTTCACAATTCTTCTTGCTCCCCTCATTTCACCATTCAATAACACTTTTTATTCCAGGATGAGAAGCATTCTTTTCTCCAAATAGACAAATTCATTCCCAAGTCCCTAAACAGGTACAAAAGTCCATCTGGAAATTGTAAGAACACAGAGTTTCATCTTAAAAAAAAAATAAAATAAAATTCCACAATTCCTTTCCTTCACTTCTCTGCCCTTTCTCTCCTCTTCTTCCCCCCAAAACCAAAGTCCTTAATTCTTCTTCTCTGTATTTCAATGAAGATTGCTCAATAACATAGTTTTCTAGTTTTCTCCTAGTCCTAAGTCTTAGCTGTCAAATACCTACCAGGAGATAAAATCCAAAAGCTAATGATACAACTGAAACAGTAGCATTTTGCATGTAAATATTACATTCTGGGATAAACTGCAGAGGAACTATTGAAAGCTGCAACTGAAAGCAACAACTCAACTTCCCTGGAAGTTTTAAGCAGCAGAAAATTTCTGGTGAAGGAAGCAGGGTGGTGCTTAAAAAGATTTTTTTTTTGCTGAACATAAGTTTTCTTGTAAAAGTGTGCCAGAATGTGAAAGCAGGTTTTAACTGATACGGGTGTTGTCCTTCTGATTTAAGAAAGTTATGGTTCTGGTGTTAGCACTGCTACTTGTAGTTTTGCAAAACAACAGCAGATCAAAAATTGTTACGATTTCTATCATGTTCACAGATACCTGGGTAAACAGTAAGGCCAGCCACTGTTAATTGATGTGACCCTTGACTAGCTGCCCCTCAGGCAGCATGCACAGGGTCTGGGTCAACATGTGCGACCATTCCCTGAGGACAGAAAATTGGTATAGGCATGGAGTAACAGAAATGAGTCATCAATACTCAAAAATGCATGGGAGAAGAGTAGAGTGGTGGTGGCATCTATCTCCTCGTAACACTGGTCAAGAGATTGGAGGCATAAGGACCGGGAACTCTATCCTTAAAAAGTCATCTATTTCTTTTTATTATTTTCAAGCATACCTATCTTATGTGGTTAGTGAGGAAGACTGCATTCTGCCTGCACCGTCTGAGATTTCCAGCTTCCTCCATCATCAGGCTTATGCAACTAGATCTGGCTTTCTGCTATAACATCGGATAGATATTGCTGGGGTTATTCTTGACAATTTTAAGTGTAGCTTCTACCCAGTTAACTCCATTGTTGTAGAAATAGTAGCTATATCCCAGAAACAGTGATGCGGATACTACTGTAAGCATTGTTCAATCAGACCTGGTCTGATCTGCAGATTAAAACAGGTAATGCAACTAATTTACACAGTTTGCTTCTAATTCTGACACAGATGGCACTTAAGCATTCCAGCCTTGGCAGTTTTGCTTCAAAGTCAGTACCAAGGCCAGGATAATCCTTTCTAGCAATTTTCTCCTTCATTTTTGAGCCACCAACTTCCATATAAAATAGAGTTTGTATCTGCTACTCCCCTTCTACAGCCATGCATTGAACAAGCTTTGACAAGACACAGGATAGACCTTCACATACTGAGCCAAATGACACCAGTCATGAATCCCTACAATGTCCAAAGCTCATTTCTTAACACTTATCTTCAGGTGGGTGCACCACAAGGAAAATTAGTGATCCAATGAAAAAACAAAAAAAGGAAAAGTAAAACTACCTTCCTTGATGGTAGTTCTGACTCTCCAGCTCTTAAATTATGCAAAGTGTGGGATAACAAACACTGATTATTTTTTAAAGTTAGCATTCACTACAAAAAGAAAGATGAGCCAAACCCAGACAACTAACAGAGCAAAAGTAGTGCATGTGCTCATGTGTGTATGTTTCCTTCGACAAAACTACTTTTCAGAAAGTTCTTTAGCCACAGAATTAGGCAAATAACCAATACAGCTAACTCTGGAGAGAATGGAGACAAACTCATGAAGAATAACCAACTGTAAACTTGCACTGGCCATTATGCCCTCTTCTCACACAAATCTTTGTCTTAATGTTATCAGCACACATAGGTTATAAGAAAAATAGATACACCGGAAATCTCATATCCTTAAAATGGTTACTTTTTTAAATTTTCTAATGCAGACGATGAAAGGTCTTCAATCAAAGCTGGCAAGAGCTCATTAACATAGGCTTTCATGAACAAGCCAGAAAAAAAAAGAAAAAAAAAAAAAAGAATGCTGTTCTGGATCTAGACAAGCACTCCCATCATCATTGATACCAATTTGCATGTAGATCAAGTTTAGCATATAGTGCAAAGTCTTTGTAGTCAGGTTACGAATTTTCCCATTATTAGCCTTTATAAACAGTTTATAAACAGCAGGCAAAATGGTTTGGGTTTTGTTGGGTTTGTGTATGTTTGGTTTTTGAAGATTGCTCTTATAAATGTACACATACAAAAAAGAAATCAGAAAGAGCATGAAAGAGGAGAGTATTCCAGTAGGAGTCTATTGACAACTGATCGTTTACTATAGGTAAAAACAAAAAACACACATTTGAGCAAGAAATAGTCACACAAGTAATAGTTTGGAGGACTGTTCCTTCAAAATCATTATATTTAAGAACATTTCAGTTCAGCAATTTAAGTGCGCATGGGAGATGCCTGGTTTTACCAGTTTTCTAAAATAATTCATTCAGAAGGAATACTACTTTTGCTAATATTAAGTCCTACACACTGAAATTTCAGATCAAGCCTCTGACAGATCTTCATGCTGCCAACAGACATGCAGTCATTCACCGCTGCTCTGCACTTGGCTTTCTGAGGACTGTACTTTGGAATTCCTGTAGACTGAATAGCTGGCACAGGGAATTCAACATAGTAGTAGTACTATTTTCAGTGCTCCTTCAAAGAAAACCAGTGCATAATTCTGCAGACCTAAGAAAACTTATAATCTTTTTATGTCATCTAAACAGAGGAGAAAAAAGTTGTCATGTGTATTTCAGATATTAAAAAAAAAAAAATCTTGCTACATACTGTCATCCAAATACCTCTAAGCTACGCTTTCCTTACCAGCAACTGAGAAGGGGGTATGTACTTTGAACAGGAAAGATGCAACACACAACATAAATCAAAAATTGTGAGAATTAAACATCAACAGGATGGAGAAAAGGAACCTGCTACCACAGCGGGCAATTAAAAGACAAAAAAAAAAATCAAAAACAACCTACCAATCCAATTATCCATCAGAGACTCTGCAGTTACTGCGGCTTCTACATGACTTGCAGCCTTGCTGATCAAGGGCCGTCACAAGACACCTAAGCAATAAGAATTTCACATTTCAAACTTGGAATACTTATCAGCAATTTGCAGTTTTCAAGAAGCCTAGGGATACCTGTTCCACCTTGGTCATTTCTCTATTTTAAAAAACTGCAACACAGTGAGGACGTTCGGGGGGTTTTTTTGTTAACTTGTTTTGTTCTTATAAGTAAACTAACCTCTGATAACCGATCTCCATTTGCAGCAGGGAGCAGAATGACTTTGTTAGAAGATTCCCCCTGCCCTGAACTCATTGCCTGAGTTCATACGTGTGATTTTTCCCCTAAGCTTACAGTATAATAATGGAGCTCTATAAGGTGAGGAAAAAAGCCTTCATTTCACAGATCTTATTACAATAGTTTGTGCATTTTCACCACTGAATGGGGAAAAAAAAATAACCCAAACTAGTCCCCCTAGTGTACCTTTGCAGTAGGAGTCTAAAGAATATGTGGCAAATCACTACCCTGTCTTTCTGTGTGAAGCTAGCCTTTTTTTTTTTTTTTTAGTAGAAGACATAGCCACTTACAGAAACTGCAGGGAAACTAGGCAACCCTTCAATCCATTTATCTAATTTCCCACTGTTTCTATTTCTGAACAAGTAAAAAAATAAATGTTGTACAAAGAAAATTAATCTGTATCCAGAAGATTTCATTAAATAAAATGTGCTGACCTGCTGGCAATTGCCAGGTCTGGTTTTAACACAGCACTTTGTTTAGCCCGGTGTTTCCCGTTCCTTCTAGCACTGAAATTGTATTAAAAAAAGCTAAGAACGTTTAAAAAACATTCGATTCATTGTCATTTCCATCCTGGCATCCATACCTTCCAGAATACATAAATGACAATCAGTGCTGTGAAAATGTTTCCTGTAGTAATTTTAAGAGTGCTATAAAAAACAAGTACAATACATACACAAAAAGGTAAGACCTTGTAACAACTGTTCAGAAGCCTCCTCAGGCTAATCTTCAGTTAAAAAAAGGCATGTTGGAAAAAAGTAGGCTTTATTTGCTGTCTAGCAGTACCCCCGTTCCAAGTCGAACAGAGCATAAGACATTGTACTCAGGTGAAAACACAAATGAAGATCGCTTGTCTGATGCTCTACAAAGAAGAGGAACCACTTGCTTTCTAAAAACAAAACTGGGCACAGCGGAAGAGCTAGAAATCTCTCCAAAAAGTGTTACATAAGGCATTGTCAAACTTCATGTCACCTCCACAGAGGCCGCAAGTTGCTATCTTCCCCCCCGGTGAACAGGGATTAATGATCTAAATGACACAATTCTCGGATAGGAGGCAATAGCAGAAGCCTGCCCAAAGGAGAGCTTCCTGGGCTGAAGGCTTGCTGGGGAGGCTGGAGGGGGACGGGGAAACCACCCTCCCCACCTCAGCGTCCCAGCGAAACTCCAGCTTCGCCCCGAGCCGGCTGGCTGGTCCCGTTCGGGCAGGCTGCCTCCCGGAGCAGGCACGCCGAGGGACGAGGCGTTCACGCCCCGCGGCGTGCCACCCTTCC